TGCAAAAAATCTGGGGGGGGGGGGGGAAATTCACTCTTAAATTCAACTTTAATAATGTTAGTGGCATAAAAAATATGGGAAAAGTAGTGGGGCTACCTCAGCATTCTCACAGTGCGTGTTCATGTTGGGTCCCAACCCAGTTTCACCTTATAAGATGGTCGTGCAGACTGTCGAGGTCACTGGGTGCTAGACAGCGTGCTCAGTGAGTCCAGAGGCTTATTGAGACGCACGAAGGTCACCACCACCGGGAAGGGTTACTGTGTGCATATCAACGTGTAGGGGACACAGGTGAAGGGGGGGGTCACAGTATAAAACACACAGCTCTTACTGATACACTAGGTTTATTGGCCCGGAATTCATATTTTGTACTTCAGGGGAAAATAGCTTGCATAATGTTTATATGTGTGTGTGTGTGTGTGTGTGTATCCCTCTTTTTCTTTAAAAGAAGAAAAGGTGGGGGAACATCAGACTTGTTTGAAAACATGCTTGTATAAGCGAAGAAAACCATGGGCCAGCAGGTGGTGTGATGGTTAAGGTGCTGGACTCCCACAAGGCCCACAGTGGTTTGAGTCCTGGACTGGTGGTTTGAAACTCACGCTGGGTGCATGTGGATGTATGTCTCAAATCCCGGGAAGACAATTTAGGAGAAGGAACTATGGCATGGCCATCTCTCCTGGGGGGTTATTTCTCACTTTCCCTCTCTCTGTCTTTTTCTGTGTCTCTCCAGCGAGTGCACTCACCCTATGGCAATGACCTAAAATACGTAAATAGTACATTTATTTCAAAGAAGAACCTAAGATTTACACAAAACAGTGTGAGTGCCATTTTGGGGAGTGAGATTTGGACGCATACTTCTTTATCTATCGCTAATACTTAAATGGTAGAGAAAAAGACAGCAGGGAACTGAAATGGAAACCCGCTCAGGGGTGGCAGGAAGGAGGGGCCCCAGCCTGCAGGGTTTGGAGATGGCTGCTCGTCCCTGAGCGGATTTCCTGCAGAGCAGGGCCTGTCTCCACGCCGATTCGGGGTCTGTTGTTCAGTGGGATGCCTGTGCTGGGTAATCTCCTTACCCAGAAGACCTCGCACCAAGGGCTAACGTGCTTAGTATTGCTCTTTGTTTCGCTGGTAAGCTTTTTCGTTATTCGGGGAATTAAAATCCTTTCCTCTTGAGCCCAATTAAATTTGTTAAGAGAAGGCCTCTGTGGAAAGGCCCTTCTTCGAGGGCTCCAAGTGGAAATGATTGTTCCGGAAACGTCTTTCCTCAGTCTCGGGAACAGGTCACAGTGAGGCTCAGGCACGGGCTATCTCGTTATCCCCCTCCAGGATGCTGGGGAGCGACGCGGGCAACAGTTCCAACTTGGGAAACGAGGACAGCTCTGCCTTTTCACAGACGGAGCACAACATCGTCGCGGCTTACCTCCTTACGGCGGGTAAGGGCAGTCAGCACGGATGGGTCCCTGCTCGGAGGTCGGACGAGGCCTCTGCAAGGAGGGCCACTGTTTCCAGCTCCGTGTCGTAGGTCAGTCCCCACAGGTTGCATGTCCCTCCGTGCCGGCTTGCTCCTGTGTGGAATGAGGACAGGAAGGCTGTGTTTCGGGGCTCTAGGGGGCAAGTACGAAGTAGGTGGCAATAAACGGAGGCACTGTTAGCGGTGGTGGATGCAGCGCTTATTCTGAGTTCTGATCAGTAGTGTGAGGACGCGCAGGTGGGGCTGAGAAAAGCAGCCTATCAGATGAATCCCTGCTTCATGAGAATCTTACCTGGTTACTACATCGTCACAGTGTCTTCATTGTGGGGCAGTGTGCACCGTGGGGAGAATGGGCACCTCATTTCCTGTCCGACGTGATTTTTACAGGTTTATCCTTTGTTGTAGACTTCAGCTAAAGATCAGAAAGTTCTGGAAAGAACAGCAAATCCTATAAAGAGCAGAGTGTGTCGTCCTTGAGGTGGGGCCGGAAGGCTCAGCTCCCTGTAGACTGCTGTGCTGGGAGATGCTGGAGCTCACCTCGTCCTTGGTATTTGGGAATCAGGCAGCGGGGCCTTCATGCTCTGCGCGCAGTTTCTGAGCTGGAAGGCGAGTGCGCTGCTGTCATAGTCGCCGTGAGGAGCAGAGGTGAACGACATGAGTCCCCCTCTGACCGGTTCTCGCTGCTTCTCCCCCGTACGCACGCATGCATTGAGATAAGGACCCGTTTGCAGGAAAGACGTGGTCGGAAATGACAGGAATTCTTTATCTTTTCAATGTAGACACTGAGTTGTGGTATTACACTGCTAATCAGTTTCTAACGTTCTGCTTGTGACAGTTTTAGAAGTGGTTGTCATAGCGGGCTCATGACTTTTGGGGTTGATGTTTAATGAAAGAATTTCGAACATATTCCAAAGAAGAGTGCGAAGTGTAGTAGATCCTTCCTACTTAGCTAACTTTTTACGATTGTTTAGCTTCTTCCTCATAACTCACGGTTACATTATTGCTATTTGTGCTGTAAAACAGTAGGCTGCCTAGAAAGCCGTGATGTATTTTTCTATGCAAAGATGAGCCATGGCTTTCCCAGTGACCCAGTAGGAACCCTCAGTTGATTTTGATCATTTTAAATGACACTTGAGTATCTCTCTAGGGTGAGCACTGGACAAGTTCCATATTTTTTTATTGTTTTTTTTTGTTGCAACAATAAGTGAAAACAATGTATTACCTAAGAGAAAAACCTCATTATCACAATTATATGGGAATACTTTGTATACAAGTTTTTGATTTAGATAGTATTTTTTTTTTTTTATGATCAAGAAAGAGCTATCCTTAAAAAATATGACTCCAGGCCAGCCAGGGCATGGTGATTAAGGTGGCTGATTAAGGTGGCTGGGTCATGCGTGGCCAGCTGCATGGTTCAAGTCACTGACCCACCGACTTGAGAAACACGTTGGGTGCATGTGTGTGTGTGTTCCGAGTACTGAGAGGTGAGTGGAGAAGGGGTTGCAGCGTGGTCACCCCCAGCCCCTGGGGCCTGACTTCTTGCTCTCCTCTCTTTCTTTTGTCTGTCTCTCTGGCAAGTGTGCAGCCCTGTAGCAAATTATGACATACATGGTTATAAAAGCAGCACACAAAGGAAATTTGCTAAGAAAACGTTCTACGTGATGACAAGGGAGAGTAATCTCACCGCAGATGGCGTCCTCCAAATGCTCGTGACCCTGTGTACAGACAGTGCGCCCCTACCCGAGTTAAGGAACTTACTTCGTAGTTTTACTTTCCCCGATAACACACATGAAGTAGTTTGTAGAGTTTAATACGCTCGTCTAACACACACACACACACACACACACACACACACACACACACCCTGCTCCGTAGTTACGGAGTTGCTGAACCCACGCCCTTTGGTTCTCAAGCCCTCTGTGGAATGACAAGGCTCAGTGTCCGCAGGAGGACCAGGGGATGTGTGGTCAGTGTGCGCGGTTGCTGGCTGAGCCAAGGGCAGCAGCTCTGACTCCGGCCCGTGTTGACATGTCTGCTCTTTAGGGCCTCCTCTTTTCGTCCTTTAGCAAAACCCACTTACACTCCCGAGTCGAGACCATGAGGGGCCGGGGCAGCCAAAGTGTGCACTTCATTCATCACCTTTACAAAGAGCAAATGTGGACTTTTCATTTTAGATTTTTATTTTTTGATGGGTAGAGGTTTTTGCTTAGGGCAGGCATGTGTGCTCACTGGAGAGAGAGAGAGAGACAGTGAGAGGGCAAGTGAGAAAGTACCCACACGGGATGGCCACGCTGCAGTCTCTTCTCTCCGCCTCTCCTCCTGGGATCCTGGGCACATACACATGGTGCCCAGCATGAATTTCAAGCCACTAGCTCTGGGACTTGAACTGTATTTGTCTGTGTGGAAGTCCAGTGACGTAACCACTACACCATCTGCTGGCTCCAGATTTTTTAAAAAAGATTTTTACCATAGGTATATGCATTTGCTGGAGAGACAGAGAGAAGGAAAGAGAGAAGTCATCCCCTGGGGGGATGGCCATACCATAATCCCTTCTCCTCCGTTCTGCTACCGGGATTTTGGGTATGCACGCGCACCCAGCATGTTTTCCAAGCTGAAGGGTCTGGGGCCTGAACTGCACAGCCCACCACGTGGGATTCATCCACTTTAACCTCCATGCTAGCTGGCTGGCTCCAGGCTTGAACTTTGGGGCTGACCTGGAAGGCACCGGCACCGGCCTTGGCACGTGTGGACCTGTGCGGACCCTGCAGAACACATGCCGATGTGCAAAGAAGGGCTCTGGGCAAGAGCTGGGCAAGGCCCACTCCGTAAAGCAGGGATGGAGGGCGGCCAGGAAGCGAGGGGTCTGCCAGAGAGGGTGGACGCAGCCTCTGAAGCCAAGGGGGCTGTCAGAGTGGAGGACCGTGGACGCCAGGTGCTGCTCGAAGTCAGGCTGGCAGGAGATAGGTCCCAGCTAGGCCCAGCTACTGAAGGGACAGGTGTTTCCTGCTCAGTGGGAGACCCCCACCACTAGGCCACAGTTACACCCACTGCGTGGAGGCAGCCACGTCGCAGCAAGCCCGCCCTGCCAGCTCATGGAGGGAACAGAGCAGGAGCCCGGCTGCAGCGCCAGAGGGTGCCAAAGGACGTTCTGGCCGAAGTGCCAAGCAGGTCGAAGCCCTTGCTTTGCTGGTACCTGCGTGCCGGTCCCTGGCCACCTTCTCCTTCTCTTTGACAAGAGGTGAGCATGGCCCGCCCTGGGGTTCTTGTCTGGATGTGACAGTTTGAAAAACGGCAGGGGCTCTTCCAGTAAATGAACTCCACTGGAGTTGCGGTGACTCTGAAGGTAAAGTTTAAGTAACCGTGCATCTGCTGTCACATTTGGAGTAAAAAGCTGCACGGTGTTTGTGTGTGTTTTCTCAGGTGTGATCAGCATTCTCAGCAACATCGTAGTGCTGGGCATCTTCGTTACGCACAAGGAGCTGCGGACACCCACAAACGCCATCATCATTAACCTGGCCTTTACGGATATCGGGGTCAGCAGCATCGGCTACCCCATGTCTGCTGCCTCCGATCTGCACGGAAGGTGGAAGTTCGGACATGCAGGCTGTCAGGTACGGGGACCTTTGAAACGGCAGACAATGGAATGTAAATCTAAATGTCTAAAAACATCCCAGGGGTCTAGATCAGGTAAGCCACGGTGGAACGAGATGAGGTGCTTCGTGGGAAGCCGCGTTGGAAGTGGCTGGGGGCGTGTCCTTTCACAGAGGTAAGATCACTAGGCACCATTACGTTTTCTGAATTACCCCAACGCAAAGGGAAGACCCACTAACAAAACAGCTAGTGAAGGGTGGCAGTTTGCATAGTTAAATCAAAATTTCTATGTCGCAGGTTAAAAAACACCGTTTTCATTTGAAGCAGTGAAGTACTTGCTGGATTGCAGTGTCTAAGGGAGTAGTTAGGCCACCGTGTTCCTTTTTTGCCTGTAGAAAGTCCTCCACGAGAACTGTTAAACGTGTTTGCTGTTCTTACCGACACGGAAATGAATTTCTATAAAGTTGCATTAGGATAGGAGGCAAATAGAACTTCTGGCCAATTTTTCTAACAGTTTACTGCCAGGTGGGCAGGAAAGTCATGACGTATTTTCCTATGCAAAGATGTGTCAGGACTTTCCAGACGGCCCAGCATCGGGAGCCGTACAGTTACAGAGAATCAAGTCGGGGTAGCAGCGAGTTGGACTCCCACGTGCGCAAACCCCGTTTCATCACGTCCTGACGGCCAGCGCTCCGTCCTCAGTCCGCCCGGCTCCCTGGGCAGACACAGCTGCAGGCCTAGAGAGCGCCCTGTCGGTCCCCCGCCCCATGGATGCTTTTCTCTCCCTGCACATGTGGGAGACCAAACCCGACACGCTCAGCTTTGTGTCCACGATGGCGCGTTTGCCTGTGCACTCTCGCGCCTGTTGGGTATCCGTGAGTGAGGCTGTCCATGCTGACATGTGCTGGGACGCCCAGCGGGATAGAGCTCACGGACAGCCCTGCCGGGCTTGTTCGTCTGTGCCCGGTACGTATGAGCATTTGTTCCCTATGGTTTTCTGCCACCACCAAGCTCCATGAATATGCAATGTGGGTGTCTCTAGCCGGGATGCCGGAGGAGCTGCTGGCTCGCAGCGAAGGCTAGGTGCCCCAGGGCTCTCTGCCCCTGACCTACGAGGACACCTGCCGGTCAGTGCTGCCCAGCACTGGCGGTCTTGGCGTGTGCATGCGTCTGGTTACTTACAGGGGTTGTCCTCTCCTGTGCACAAACATTCTGTAATGTAACAGGCTGTGCAGAGCCGGGCAGGCTATGCCGTTTCTCGGTTATTCTCTGCCCCCCGGGGAGCTGCCTGTCTTCAGAAAATGACTTTTCCACAGTTGTCATGCCCACCCCCACTCACCCTCTGTTTACAGAGCACATCACGTAGGGGCTTACCTGGAATCTGAAAAAGTCCTAGAGCTTATTTTAACTGACAAAATCTCAAAATGCTTTCTATAAATGCCTTTATTAAATATAATTGATGGGACCAGCAGTTGGTGCAGTGGCTATGTCGCTGGACTCCCACGTAGCCTACCGTGGTTCAAGTCCTGGACCCAGTGGCTTAAACTCATGCCGGGTGTGTGTGCCTGTGTGCACAAGATCCCGAGAGGAGAATGGAGGAGGAGGGATTGTGGTGTGGCCATCCCCCTGGGGGGTGATTTCTCGCTTTCTGTCTCTCTGTCTCTCTCTGTCTCTCCATCTCTCTTTCTGGCGAGTGCACATTCCCTATGGCAAAACCCTCCCCCATCAAATATATATAATTGATAAATGAAAGACGTATTAAAATAGATAATCATTTAATATATTTGAAACACATTCTAATGATGGGATAACGGTCTCAGTATTTCTCAGGAGGGCTTTAGAACGTGGATTCTTTCCATTTTGTTTTTCAGATTTACGCCGGCCTGAATATATTTTTCGGGATGGCGAGCATTGGGCTGCTCACGGTCGTGGCCGTGGACCGCTACCTGACCCTCTGCCGTCCTGCCGTAGGTACCGCCTTCCTTCAGCCTTCTCCACGGAGCCCTTTCTTGCCAAAGCTCTGCTTGAAACACATGCACTTGAAGTATGAAGTGAACGTGTTTATTAATACAATAGTTAATTCATGACCGTTTGTAATTGGGGTCAGCCTTTCTTCAATCCTGGCTCACAAGTGTGCATGGCTTCCTCTTGTTCTCAGAATAAGCCCAACTCCCTGGCGTGGCCTGCCAGCTACAGGGTCTGCCCGGCCCTGGCCAGGTCGGCCGGGCCACTCTTGCTTTGGGAACCGGCCCAACCCTTCCCCCCTTGGGCCCGGGTCTGTGCTGTTTCTGAGCCCTGGCAGCTCTTCTCACTCTTCTCCAGTGGTCGGCCCTTTGTATCTGCCAGCCTGAAGGTCCTGTGTGAAAATGCAAATTCACGAGCCAGGCTGCGCGAGAACTGGGTGTTCGCCAAGCACCTGCCCGACGATGTGGGTTCCTGGGAATGCCGGGCAGGGGCCAGCACCACCCAGCATGGCTCTCATGTCCCCTGTGTCAACAGGAAGAAGAATGGGCAGCAGCACCTACGCAGCCATGATCCTGGGGGCCTGGCTCAACGGCCTGTTCTGGGCTGCCATGCCCATTGCCGGATGGGCTGGCTATGCCCCGGATCCCACAGGGGCGACCTGCACCATAAACTGGAGGAAGAATGATGCGTAAGGGACATGCTCACACGTCACAGCCCTAGGCTGGTGAGGCAGAAGCCCTATCTCCACATCAGAGCTCAGCCAGTTCTCATGTGCAGTGTGGCTGAGACTCCTCGGAGCACGTGCTAGGTGTGCTGACGTCCTGGTGTGCAGTGCTGACGTCCTGGTGTGCGGTGCTGACGTCCTGGTGTGCAGAGCTGACGTCCTGGGTGTGCAGAGCTGATGTCCCGGGTGTGCAGAGCTGACGTCCTAGTGTGCAGAGCTGACGTCCTGGGTGTACAGTGCTGACGTCCCGGGTGTGCAGTGCTGACGTATGCCGAGGATCCTGGAGTGCAGAGCGGACGGCCTGGGTGTGCAGTGCTGACGTCCTAGTGTGCACAGCTGACGTCCTGGGTGTGCACAGCTGACGTCCTGGGTGTGCAGAGCTGATATCCCGGGTGTGCAGAGCTGACGTCCTAGTGTGCAGAGCTGACGTCCTAGTGTGCAGAGCTGACGTCCTAGTGTGCAGAGCTGACGTCCTAGTGTGCAGAGCTGACGTCCTAGTGTGCAGAGCTGACGTCCTAGTGTGCAGAGCTGACGTCCTAGTGTGCAGAGCTGACGTCCTGGTGTGCACAGCTGACATCCCGGGTGTGCGGTGCTGACATCCTGGGTATGCACAGCTGACGTCCCGGGTGTGCGGTGCTGACGTCCTGGTGTGCAGAGCTGACGTCCCGGGTGTGCGGTGCTGACGTCCTGGTGTGCAGAGCTGACGTCCCGGGTGTGCGGTGCTGACGTCCTGGTGTGCAGAGCTGACGTCCCGGGTGTGCGGTGCTGACGTCCTGGTGTGCAGAGCTGACGTCCCGGGTGTGCGGTGCTGACGTCCTGGTGTGCAGAGCTGACGTCCCGGGTGTGCGGTGCTGACGTCCTGGTGTGCAGAGCTGACGTCCCGGGTGTGCGGTGCTGACGTCCTGGTGTGCAGAGCTGACGTCCCGGGTGTGCGGTGCTGACGTCCTGGTGTGCAGAGCTGACGTCCCGGGTGTGCGGTGCTGACGTCCTGGTGTGCAGAGCTGACGTCCCGGGTGTGCGGTGCTGACGTCCTGGTGTGCAGAGCTGACGTCCCGGGTGTGCGGTGCTGACGTCCTGGTGTGCAGAGCTGACGTCCCGGGTGTGCGGTGCTGACGTCCTGGTGTGCAGAGCTGACGTCCCGGGTGTGCGGTGCTGACGTCCTGGTGTGCAGAGCTGACGTCCCGGGTGTGCGGTGCTGACGTCCTGGTGTGCAGAGCTGACGTCCCGGGTGTGCGGTGCTGACGTCCTGGTGTGCAGAGCTGACGTCCCGGGTGTGCGGTGCTGACGTCCTGGTGTGCAGAGCTGACGTCCCGGGTGTGCGGTGCTGACGTCCTGGTGTGCAGAGCTGACGTCCCGGGTGTGCGGTGCTGACGTCCTGGTGTGCAGAGCTGACGTCCCGGGTGTGCGGTGCTGACGTCCTGGTGTGCAGAGCTGACGTCCCGGGTGTGCGGTGCTGACGTCCTGGTGTGCAGAGCTGACGTCCCGGGTGTGCGGTGCTGACGTCCTGGTGTGCAGAGCTGACGTCCCGGGTGTGCGGTGCTGACGTCCTGGTGTGCAGAGCTGACGTCCCGGGTGTGCAGTGCTGACGTCCGGGTGTGCACAGCTGACGTCCCGGGTGTGCGGTGCTGACATCCTGGGTGTGCACAGCTGACGTCCCGGGTGTGCGGTGCTGACGTCCTGGTGTGCAGAGCTGACGTCCTGGGTGTGCAGAGCTGACGTCCTGGGTGTGCAGAGCTGACGTCCTGGGTGTGCAGAGCTGACGTCCTGGGTGTGCAGAGCTGACGTCCTGGGTGTGCAGAGCTGACGTCCTGGGTGTGCAGAGCTGACGTCCTGGGTGTGCAGAGCTGACGTCCTGGGTGTGCAGAGCTGACGTCCTGGGTGTGCAGAGCTGACGTCCTGGGTGTGCAGAGCTGACGTCCTGGGTGTGCAGAGCTGACGTCCTGGGTGTGCAGAGCTGACGTCCTGGGTGTGCAGAGCTGACGTCCTGGGTGTGCAGAGCTGACGTCCTGGGTGTGCAGAGCTGACGTCCTGGGTGTGCAGAGCTGACGTCCTGGGTGTGCAGAGCTGACGTCCTGGGTGTGCAGAGCTGACGTCCTGGGTGTGCAGAGCTGACGTCCTGGGTGTGCAGAGCTGACGTCCTGGGTGTGCAGAGCTGACGTCCTGGGTGTGCAGAGCTGACGTCCTGGGTGTGCAGAGCTGACGTCCTGGGTGTGCAGAGCTGACGTCCTGGGTGTGCAGAGCTGACGTCCTGGGTGTGCAGAGCTGACGTCCTGGGTGTGCAGAGCTGACGTCCTGGGTGTGCAGAGCTGACGTCCTGGGTGTGCAGAGCTGACGTCCTGGGTGTGCAGAGCTGACGTCCTGGGTGTGCAGAGCTGACGTCCTGGGTGTGCAGAGCTGACGTCCTGGGTGTGCAGAGCTGACGTCCTGGGTGTGCAGAGCTGACGTCCTGGGTGTGCAGAGCTGACGTCCTGGGTGTGCAGAGCTGACGTCCTGGGTGTGCAGAGCTGATGTCCTGGGGGTGCGGTGCTGATGTCTGAAGTGCTGGTCCCAGTGGTGAAACCCAGATGAAAATACAGCCTGTTTGCAACTACGTGCTGTTGGTACTTCATCCCTGACTCTGCCCCACCCTCCCTCTCCTTGCCCTCTCCTAAGGCAGCAGTGGGGTGACAGTCACCCTCCCCACATATGCACACCGCACAGGCAGGGCCGTGAGCGGGAAAAGGACAAGTGACTCCAGGTGGTGTCCCCGGCTCTCCCCGAGCCCTCTGGGGTTGAGTGCGTCTGGGAACTCCGCAGCCGGAGTGCCATCACAGCAGCGCGCCTGCGGGTCGGCTACAGCCTCTTCTGCAGGGAAAAGAGGATCGTTCAGTTCATTAAAGGAAGCAAGTGATGACTCAGAAAAGCAAACACTTTTCCAAATCTCAGACTAAATTCAGGTCTAAAGGTTTGTCTCTGCAGAGTCAAACCGAAACCATCTGAGCTCTAAGCTGGCAGTGTGTGCACCAGCTGTCCGGTGGCCGCGGTGCAGGAAGGCATCAGGTCTGCACGAGGGCACGTGGCCGTGGTCCAGCGAGCCACGCACAGGGACGGTCGGGCTGGCACCCGCCTGCAGGCCGCACTTTGCCGCCGCTGGTCTAAATGAACCGATCGTTGAAGACCCTTTGAAGCTACGTAGTGGCTCCTGGCCGCTGCAGTGTGACGCCGCAGGTACGGCCTTGCTCTGCCGCCCGGACCTCGGAGGGGTAGCCACGCGGCCCAGTCCTTCGTGTCCCTTGCAGGTCCTTTGTGTCCTACACGATGGCCGTTATTGCGGTGAATTTCGTGGTGCCCTTGACGGTGATGTCCTACTGCTACGTCCTTGTCGCTCGCGCCATCGCAGGGCACGCTGCCTCCAGCTGCTCTGAGCACCGCTGCCGAGACTGGTCGGAGCAGGTGGATGTCACCAAGGTGAGGAGCCAGAGCCCGCGGGGAGTGCCCGTGACCGGGCTTGTAGGCACACCGTCCGGAGTCCCAACCGCCACGGCCCCCCCGGCCATGCACCAGTTCCCCTTTAGGTGTTTGTCTCTGTATCTTTCTTTCTTTCATCTCAAGTTTATCAAGTTTTTTTCTTTTTTTTGGAGAGGATTTTGCGATAGGCTGCGTGCGCTCGCCAGACAGACAGAGAGAGACAGAGACAGAAAGTGAGAAATCACCCCCCAGGGGGGATGGCCACGCCGCAGTCCCTTCTCCTCCATTCTCCTCTCGGGATCTTGGGCACGCACACACACGTGCCTGGCGTGAGTTTTAAGCCACTGGGTCTGGGACGCGAACCGCAGACTACATGGGAGTCCAGCAACATAGCCATTACGCCAACTGCTGGTCCCACACCTTAAGTTTATCAAGTTTTTAGAGTGACAGAGAGAGACAGATCTAGCATCCTCACTAGGGCCGCCACTTGCGACCACCCCGACCTCAGTCAGGGCTGGATCGGACCACGGGCCAGCATGTGCAGGGCTTACTCAGCGAGGGCTCTGGATTTGAACTGGGAACCTTCCCAAGTGAGGTTGCTCACAGAGCATCCCACCCGTCTGGTGCTCCCTCATGAGTTCCACGTGCTGTGGCTATCCCCTTGGGGAGGGCTGTTGCTCTCACCTCCTGCGTCCTACCAAGGATGAGGGTTTATTTCCCTCGGCCGCCAGCCTCCCCCCCGCCCTGCACAGGTCTGCCATCGGGCAGCCACCTTAGCAGCACTAGGTGAGATCAGGGGGCGTTCTCCCTCCACCTGGAGTGTTCGAACCCCCCACAGACCTGGTCCGCTCCCTTCTCTTCTCTGAGCATCCCTCCTGGGCCTGCAGACCTCCTCAGTGGTTCAGGATGGCTCCGGAAGCCGCGTGGCCAGCGCCCTGCCCCACGCTGGCCGGATCCCACTCTCCGGACTGCATCCCCCCCTCCTCCCCTCCCTCTGATCTGACGGAGCGTTCCACGAGGTTCCCGCGGTCACGAGGGGGGAGATTCCGACTCTGCGGGCCTGCACATGTCTGAGTTCTGCACTGTAGGGCCTGGGGCCTGACTGGAGTTCCAGGTGAGAAGTGATGGTCACAGGATGGCGAAGGCCCTGCTCTGCGGTGTCGGGCTCCGGGCGGATCGCAGAGGCTCTGCGGGCTCTGCACGCCATGTGGATGTGCTCGGGGGTCTGCTCATCCTGGGCAGGGTACTTGGCGAGTACCTTCAGGCGACGCCCGAGGCCTTTCCTTCCGGAAGACTCCTGGTGTTTCTCCAGTGATTCTGGATTCCGTTTTATGTCTTTTTAGTCCTTTTCCCCATCATTTTAGTGGGCAAGCAGGAGGAAGCAGTGGGAAAAGTGTAAGTTTTTCAGTTTAACAAGACACAAGGGGGCTCTGCACACAGCCCTCTGCACTGCCGTGACCTTTGGCCGCCCTGACGGCCGTGCCGACCCACCGGGCTCAAGATAGAATTATGCTCATTTCCAGATTGAAGTGTGGGGAGAAGGTTTTTCAGACTGACAGAAAAATCGCAGCGTGGGGGACAGTCGCAGTCCACGTCACAGTTGGGGAGGAAGGCCGGTGGCATTCCCGTCTTTCATCAAAGCTCGCGTGTGTGCCTCTCCCAGCACGCCATAGCAGGAGGCCAGCCGCTGGGTGTGTGCAGTGTGTACGAGAGCAGCAGGCCAGCGGGCGGCGTGGTGGTTACGCTACTGGACCCCCACACGGCCAGCCATGGCTGGAGTCCTGGACCGGTGGCTTTAAACTCACACTGGCTGCGTGTGCATGCACGCCCAAGATCCCAGGAGAAGAATAAAGGAGGAGAAACTGTGGCATGGCCTTCCCCCACAGGCATGGTTTCTCACGTTCCCTCTCACTGTCTGGCAAGCAGATGAGTCCTAAGGCAAAAACCTCTTAAAAAAAAAAAAAGCCATGCAGGCACTGGCCAGGCACCCACTCCACAAACTCTTGTTATCAAAGCGATTCAGGGGCCTTGGCAGACAGTGCGAGGGCCAGAGCTCAGCCATCCGCCTCTGTCCTCAACAGCGCAAACGGACCCAAGTCCCGATCTAGGCCATCGGGCATTTCTAGACACATTCGCTGTGCCAGTGCTCAGTGTGGCCTGGGCCTCTCCACTTCGTTTGCAGATGTCCGTGGTCATGATCCTCATGTTCCTGGTGGCCTGGTCCCCCTATTCCATCGTGTGCCTGTGGGCGTCCTTCGGTGACCCGCAGAGGATTCCTCCCGCGATGGCCGTCGTGGCCCCACTGTTTGCAAAGTCCTCTACGTTCTACAACCCATGCATCTATGTGCTCGCTAATAAGAAGTAAGTGCTGCCTACAGTGCTTCTGCAAGAGCAGACAGAGTGTCAGCAGGCAGCGGGCGGGCCCGCGCTGGCATGGCGGTTAAGGCACTAGACTCCCACACGGGCAATGGTGGTTTGAGTCCTGGACAATCACACCAGGCATGTGTGTGTGTGTGTGTGTGTGTGTGTCCAAAAACCTAGGAAGAGAGCGGAGAAGGGACTGGGTGTGTCTATTCCCGGGGGCAGGGGGTGTTTCTCACTTCCCCTCTCACCGTCTCTTTCTCTGTATCTCTGGTGAGTGTACCAGTCCTATAGCAAAAAAACCCTGAAATAAGTAAATAATAAATAATGACTTAAACGGCAGTGGGCAGTATTCCAAGCCTGTCAAGGCAGACGTGCGGTGCTCACACCAGCCCAGGGTGAAGCGGCCCGGCTCACACAGCTGGGACAGGATCTGGGACTGCGAATGTCCAGGGCTCCTGCTCTGAGGCCCTCCCCACAGGACGGCAGGATGGCAGGATGCCCCGCACAGCCCAGGGCCCCGCTCAGCCCAGGGCCCCGCTCAGCCCAGGGCCCAGCCCCACCCGCCAAGTGTGCTCAGACGCTCTACTCAGATGCGGGGGAGCGCCGCGTTGTCGATGTCCTCTCTCCCAGCTGCACGGATGGTGATTTCCAGGGACAGTGGCTCTGTCACCGGAGTGCACAGAGCCGTGTGGCTTCGTCAGTGCTGGCTGGGGTGGACTAC